ATATTCAGGCATGTTGGTGTTTATTACATTGACATTCATTTTTGCCAACAAAATATCCATAATCTTTTTTAAGTTACAAAGGTAATAAGGTCTTGAAATTTAAATTTTCAAAGTATTTCACTGAGTGCCCTGTAAAGGGTTAAACAAAACAGCCAGACTGATAATTGTTTCCAACCATGATTAGAAACAGCAGTATTATGAACCATTTCACAAAGACTGAACTGCATTCTTTAGCATGATGAAGAGTTCAATGAACTCTGCAGTCTTAGGATCTCAGACCAGTCTGGCAAGTTTGGGACGTGGTGTAACGGTGTACTGGCATCATGGATGTGGACCCGAAAATCTGCAATTATTGTGTGACTCTCTGTCAATATGGATCAGAATCTCAGAATATCAGTGATGAAATTTGTGCTTAAAACATGGAAGACAATGCAAAACGGTACTAGCTAGGTGCATAACATTGTGGCAGATGAGGCTATATTGCTACCCGCTGAGATTTGTCCTGGAATAAGGGTTGCATTGAACACAATCGGGTGTGACCTACCACAAATATGAAATTTTCAAAATAGCCATATTCTTTATTAGGCTTTGAGCCTTATTAAGATAAAGAACAATCAGATGAAAAGTTTATCATTCAGAGCAGTTTTAGGAAATGTTAGGACCTTTCTACTCTGTGAAGAACTACAGTTGAACCAAATGAAAGAACAAAAAAACAGCATAAATGCATCTGATGATGTTCAAAATCCACAATTGCTTAAACAAAAGCCATTGTTAAAAAAGGCTCCTAATGTCTTAAACTTTAAACTGAGCCTTAGGGCAGCAGACATTATTCATTCTAGTGCAATCTTAGTGTGTTCTGATTACAGCATCAATAGTCAATAAATCATAGCCAAATTTGTTGAATATTTAAGAAAAAAGGTAAGAAATCATCTCGACTCTACAATCATTCTATCCATAACATGTAAAAAAAAAAGGAGCTCTTCAGATGTCAGCTGTGTGCATATGTTCTTTACCTCACGCAGAGACTCCTCCATCTGGTTATCCAGGTCTTTGATCTTCTGTTCAAGCTCTTCAATGTTGTTCAGAACCTGAATTCTCTCTTCCTCTATATGAGTAACCTCCTGTTTCAGCTGCACACTCTCCAAGGCCTGTAATGACATTAGGATTGAAAATAAATGTCTGGCTCCTTATAGAGCAAAGTAAACACAACAGTTTGACAACCAAGTTATCAAAAACATGTCATCACCATCCATCACACTAAAAAGTTTGAGCAAGATAAGAAACGGTTTCCGTGTTTATGCTGTTAGAATCGTTTGGCTTTGGATAGATTCGTTTTTCATTGAGTCACAAAACAGCTGCAGTCAAACTCATCCAAAAAAGGATCACTGGCAACAAGGGCAGGATTCTTTTCCACTTTGTGCAATGGAAATCTCTATCAGAGCTTTGCTGTACCAGCCATGCCAAAGCATTCCCACATATTGCACCATCTGCCAGAATGTCCTAAATATTCAGTCACAATCATGTGAATTTGTAAGATATCTTAAAATAAAAGTTCTCTTCCTTAAAGGAGCCAGGTGGGTTATTTTCTATTCAGACATGTGTGTGTTTAGCAACTCTAGCTGATTTATAGTTCCTCAGATGTGCGCTATTTTGTTCAGCACATACTCCCCTGAGGAATGTTGGAGATGGAAGAAGGGTTATTAGAAGACTGTAAACCACTGTCACAACTGAAACAGAACAGAAAATCTGGACTTCAATTGGATCCAGCATATCATGAGTGCTGCATCTAAAGAAAGTATCAGTTTTATTAAAGATGAAAAGGCTTTATTACCTGGGTTATTTACTTTTCACTTCTCCATTTCCTTCACTTGCATAGATGAGGTAAACATCTGGCAAAGTGCATGTTTTTCGTCATGCACGCAGGCTTACATTCTTCCACTTGCACAACCGTGCACAGCTGCGCATACACACAAGAAAATCTACACACTAATTCACTGCTGGATCAAGTAATTTCCTGCCCCCAACCCCATCCCCCCACCTCAAGAGTGTGAGTGGTTCATTGCTGAAACAAAACTAGAACTTCTTCATTAAAACCAGACACTGAGAAGTTACTGCTCCAGAGTGGAAAAAAAAAAAAAAAAGGCTTATACTTAAGAAAATTGGACTCTCTGGTAGAAAAACACCCATACAACTTGGTAAATGGTCGGTATACTTTGTATTTGGGCATTAAACATGTTGATCTAGTTTTGACAAAGAGCAGTGAAGCTTTCCAATTTAGGATCTCCTAAAAAGGTGGTGGAATCAAAATGAGGTCAGATTGTATTGACTTCAAAGTCTAAAAAAGTCTTGGGCAACTTTAATTTCCATGTTTATAAGTCTGTCCAATACATATAAACAGGAACTGTACAAATTGCTACATGCACAGTCTACTACATACATAGTCCTTAAAAATGCTTTGGTAAATACATTTATGTTTATACGTTTGGTGGAAATACACCAAAATAGAGCCTAGTGTTCTTAAAATTGTCCAGATTTCCTCTGTAAAGTAAAATGCATTATTTTGATTCATTGATATTTTAAAATTTGTTCAAATTTTGTTTCCTGGAAACTCTTACATCTGTCCTTAAGTAGGAATGCGGATAGGAAATGCTAATTTATTTGAGCTGGAGAAAAACATTCTGAGATAATACAAAAGGTAAACAGACACAGATAAATGGTCTGTCAGCATCATTACTAGCTGCATTCCACAGTAAGGGAGAGCCTCATTTGTTATTTTACTAAAAATTCTTTACTAATGTGTAGATTTTTCCAAAATCTGTAAGAGGAGGCAGCAAGGCCTAATAACAAACTTTTTAGTTGTTGTAAAAACTTAAACACCAACTATACAACACTTTAAAAAATTCAAAAATATTTCGACTCTGTCATCAATGGACTTTTGATTCTTTAGTCTTATGGACACTAAGTTCCTACAGTGGCGAGGATGCACCACCAATTTGGCCTTTTTATACTGCCTCTGCTCTTCAAAAGTTCTGTGCACGCCACTTATTTTCACTTATATTTCTTTGCTCTGGTATAACTTACTTTGGATCTGTGGTGAGTAGAAGGAGAGGGGGCACTGCTATTCAGGCTTGTCGCAGGTGAGTGGGACCTGTAGTTGCCCGGCTGACGCTGGATGGATTGCTGCTCCTCGGGCAGCTGAAGGTCTCTGGCTTTGGCAGTAAAACAGGTGTCTGGAGCAGTGCTGCTGGGGGAGTCAGAAAACACAGACTCATCGTCCGACACCTGCAGCTTCTCCAGCTCTTTATTGATCTTTTGTAGATCAGAAACAGCTGAGCCCGCTGGCTCTCGCACCACCTGTCCAAACTCAGTGCACAGGCTTAAGATGGTCTCTAGACGCTGGCATTCCTGCAAACAGCAGAATGAATCTTTTAATGATTCGTTAATTTAAACAATAAATTTAAATGATAATAAGCTCACCAATTTCTGCACTCTCTGCTCCCTTAGTCTTTCATCTCTCTGATGCTGGTGGTAGTCTCTAAGCTCCTCTTTGCCATTGAGAGAACTGATGCTGCTTACCCTTTGTCCTGGGCTTAGCCCACTTTTCCCAAATGACAACCTCCTCTCTCCTAATCCCAAATCCAGGACTGTTCCATCAATTTCTACACCCAGAGAGCTAAGAGAAGCAAGACTGGACCTCCTAGATGTGCTAGGCATGCTTGCCGGCACAGTCACATCTGGGGGCTGCTCAAGGGAGGAAAGGCTGCGCCGCTGTCCTGCTGAAACCACCACTCTATGGGAACCCACTGAATGACGAGAAGGCAGTGACAAAACGGGCGGGTCTGCTGCATTGTGAAGTCGTGGCAAAGAACGGCTATGCATCCCTAGGTTGTTGAGGGAACCTGTGGAGTATTTCCTCTGCCTTGACTCACCGATGGCTTTGCTTTGAGAGCTGAGTCTACGGCTCATTCGAGGGCTGGATGGCATACTGGCAGCGCCACTTTTGACCCGGGGAGAACGAGGTACTGGCTCCCCATAGGAGGACATCAGAGAGCTTCCATCGGAAGCATGAGAGAGCAGCAGACTGTCTTGTGATTGGTGGCGAGAGTAGGGATGACGAAGCAAGCCATTGGAGCTAATTTGGCGCTCACCCTGACGTGGCGATGGGGGCACACTGTTGCTGTTGATGTAAGAAAAGTTTCTGGAGGCAGAGGGCGGTCTCTCTGTGTTGCTGAGGATGGACAGCGGCCTGCTGGATTGGCTACCCACAGGTGCAGGTACGCTAAGGTACTTGCGACTGCATTCAGCTGCCCTCAGGCTGGCCTCAAGAGCACTCTTTCTGCGCTGCAGGGTCTCCATCAGTTCCTGAAGTTCTGCTTTAGAGCGAGAGCCCCTCAGCAATGTGCCCCCTACTGAGCTGCCGTTGCTGTGCTCCATTTTCAAACAGTCTAGAGAAAACAGAGATTTGACAAAGCATGAAATCCTGGACCTTGTTGGGCTTCATATAAAAGCCTTCATACTTTGTACCATCAGCCATATTTAACTTAATATCTTTAATCCACAAAGCCGCAGCTGAGCTACAAGATCTAATGTGTTTGGTAAGAGGAGGGGAAACCACTGATGAATGTACGCTCCTGCAGTTCTGAGGCCAGTACAAACACTGGCACAGACATTGGTCTCTTCTAAAAATGGAAGAATGTTCGTGAATCAAGACAAGACCAAATACTTATAGTCTGGACTGAAAATAATATCCTTAGAGAGTCAAATACCAAACCAAGCAGACTGATGAAAGTATCTGAATCAGCAGAGTGAGATGCTGAATATAAAGTACAAACATTAACAATATTTAAATTTATAGCGATCCCTGTCACTCCAAAGAAGATGTTTTAGTTTATTGTCATCTGTTATGGGTTTTTAATGACAGAAGGGCTCTGTTACCACACTTATTTATAGTGTTCTCTTCAAAGACCAAGAAAGTATTACATGCTACTATACACTAGAGCAGGGGTCTCCAACCCTGGTCCTCTATCTACTGCTCTGCAGATCTTAGATACATCCCTTCTCCATTACAGCTGAATTAAATAAATGGCTTGCTACCGGTACCAGGCTTTGCCAAACTTGATAACATGCTGAAGAGGTAATTCAATTAATTTAAATTTGCTGTGTTGGAGCAGGGATGCATCTAAAATCCGCAGGAGAGCATATCTTGAGGACAGGGATTGGAGACCCCTGCACACAGATATCTACAACCTAAGTGGTTTCTTAAGCTGAGCTCAAATTCATCTGAAGGTCAACTTAACACTGATGGATATATTTCTGAACATCATACCTGTTAACCTATTGAGAAATTCTGGCTAACCTATCAGTCCGATGTACAGCAACTATCACCAAACCTTTTAATTTAGGCTCCAATTCTTCCGATCTTACTTCATTTTAACCATTTTATTGTGTTTATTAATCTATTTGGAAATGTATATTCGATTAAACTGATACAGATTTACTGTTGATAATTGATGAAATACTGATAAGCAATAAGGTTTTATTTTTTTTCGTCTTACCAGAGGCATAGCCCAGTGTTGCCACAGCGCTCCTTTGAGGAAGCATGTTCATCACAATGACCTCAAAGAATCTCAGCTAAGGATGAAGAATTCAGCGAAATCTGCACAAGAAAAGACAGAAAACACAAACTAAATACAGAGCAAAAAAACAACAGAAATGGACATTATTTAACAAATTTGTCAAACCACAGAATAAAGATGAATACCAAGCTTCCTAAATAATACTTTCTTCTTCTTTGCTGCCATATTTGTTTCTGTTGTTTCCAGCTTTAATCTGCTGCCACAGTTTACATGGAAAAAAAAAAAAAATTCTCTTTTCCCCAAGTTGAAACCTTTCATCCTGGAACCTCTTTATTTTCTGTGGAAATATGCTACTAAATCACTTTCAGGAACCCGCGGGCCCTGAACCGTGTTGGTGGAATAGTCCAAAGTGTCGACCATTACTTACAGATGGAGCAAACAGAGAAGCAACTAAACCTCCAAGGAGAAGTTAGCTTCACAAAAGTACTTCCAGAGGGCATCAATGTTTAAGGCCCTGGAGGTCTCACTCGCCTCAGTTAAGGGTATTGTTCATGACTGAACAATAACAGGCAGGGCAAAAATTGCATCCATCTGAGAAATCCTGAGGCAAAAACATCTGCTGATGAATAAGAAAACAAGAGTCCATCTCAAAGTCCTCCCCTCAAATTTTTGAAACTTTTGGGAAAAGAATACTATGGGCTGACAAGAGATAAGTTGGTATTTTTACAAGCAGCAGCGTTTCAGAAAAGAATAGTAGTAGTGTGATGGATGTCAAATGCTTTGTCGCCTCAGGACTTAAACAACTTCATTGAATTCTCGCTTGTAAAAAAAAATACAGGATAACCCTTCCGTGATGTAAAGATTTTGTAATGGCCCAGTAAATGATTGGACTTCTGACTGTTAAAGTAGGTAGACTTAAAGTAACCTGTTCATTCTCCACTTTGCAAAGAAGAGTGGGATAAAAAAATCCGATGGCAGTTATATAACAACCAGTTATTGGGTTTAGGGAGCATTCATTGATTATCTGAACTAGTGTGACATTAAAGTAAACACTAGATTTGTGTAAGGGGAAAAATACCTTTCCACAGCACTGGGTGTTTAATATTGAATCTGTTTGGATTTAATTCCAAAAAAAGTAAAAAAAAAAAAAAAACTAAAACAATTCATTGGACTTGGTTTCCAAGTTTGAAGAGGTTTCGCTTCCCATCCAGGAAGGTTTTTCAATTCAAAATGTCAGAATTAGCGTTGAGTTCGAAGGTTCATATAGTAGCCAAAAAACTTGTTTTGGCTTAGAAAACATGCAAATTGAATCAGAAGAACGGGTCCGCCTCCTTAGGAACGGGGAGATGTTTTGGGTTCTTTGTTAGCCTGCAATACCTGATACTGGGCTATGCCTCTAAAAGGGGGTCGTTAGGGGCAATTGTTGGCTTTGTTGCCCAATTAGGCCACTCAACGCTAATTCTGACATTTTGAATTAAAAAAGAATCCTGGATGGGAAGCGTAAGGTCTTCAAACTTAGAAACAAAGTCCAGTGGATTGTTGTTTGATTTTTTTACTTTTTTGGATTAACTATGACCTGAATGACTGAGAATCTTTACCAGCATGTTTGGATTTAAGAAAGTTGATTAATTGTGGTTCAAAAGAGATATTCAAACAATAATTGAGAGCTAAGAGTAGTGCAATATTTATGCCTCATAGCTCTTAATATCATCAGCCCAGACAGGTTTATCACCAAAAAAAAAATCTGTTACACACCTTTAAAACATAAGATTCATGAGGTAAACTTTTTGAAGAACTGATATCTTTCTTCAACCATAACATGCCTTAAAAATGACCCACTTAAAATTTGTAACAGAGATGAATCATTTCCTTATTACATCTCAACTTGACACCAATCAGCAGTTTTGTTTTATCAATTGTATGGATTTATGAAACAAAATCCCTTCCTTTCATTTATGCTTCATAACATTTGAACAGCAGTGCTGATATTCCAGATGTGGATTTTTTCAGAGTAAAAGGAGGAGGGGGACTTTCCAAATGTCTGAGTATAAAAACAGAACTCTCTCTCTTTTTTCTTTTTTTTTTTTTTTTGGTTCTGGTCAGTTTTCCCAATAAAGTGAATAATGAGTCCACTGACATTCATACAATTCCTTTCCCTGTTGGGTCTTTTCCTTCAATTTGTTACCTTTACATTTTTACTTGTGACACTATTGAAATTATATTTTTTTCATTAGAATAATAAAATAGTATAATCTTTATTATCCTTAAGTTACAAGTAAGCATTTGTTCAAATACAGATGAGAAATCCATCATCAATCCATGCACATTATAGTGTTTAGTAAATGAGGATTTAATTAGCTCCAGAGACGAGACGCATTTCTTTTTAAAATAAGTCAGACGTTACTTGTTCCTGAATGCACACACATCTCACTCACAGAGTAAGAGAGAGATGGCTGATCTGAGAGTTTTTTAGTCCCACTGTCTGGAGAGAGCACAGACAGGAAACAGGGTATCCTCTTACACCGTCAAGCATCTAGTCAGCATGAGTTCATTCTCCAGACCTCCAAGAAAAAGAGTGGGGGAGAAGTTCCCCACACACAACCTCAAATCACAGGCAGGCAGGAGATGTTGGCTGTATCACCCACGCTTTAGGTCAGCGGGGAGGTGCACATGTAAACAGTTTGAGGAATTACGTCTGATAAGGTTACTTTCATCTCCTGTTTGGAAGAAAAGTATTTTTACAAGTAAACCCCAAAGTGCAGTTGATTTGCTTTCCTCGCCATTTGTTCAGTGAAAAACAATTACATTCCCATGGTTAGAAACGAATAAGAAATGGAAAATCTTTAAAAAACATGATGTTTCCGTTAATGACCACACCATACACAATCACTACCATCTCATAGTAACATAACAGTGTTTAAAACAGCTTTTGTGTATTAGTTTAATTTCAAGATGCCATCCCCCAGTGACTGATTGGTTCCTGCCAATAATGAAATGGATAATTGGGTTTAGAGCATTTACACTGAAACATTCAATCAAAATATCAATTATTTTACAACTATCTCTACGCAACTTACAAATATTTATCAAATAATTTGACATGCCTATATGAAATTATAAATTATAAGAACTTTTATGGGGCGATAGTGGCGTTAGATGTAGGAGTTTGCTCTGAAAATCAAAGGATTGACGGTTCAAGCCCCGACTCCGACTTCAGTGTCCTTGTGTCCTTGGGCAAGACACTTCACCTGCATTGTCTACTGATGGTGGTCAGAGGGCCCGGTGGCGCCAGTGTACGGCAGCCCCGCTTCTGTCAGTGAGCCCCAGGGCAGCTGTGGCTACAATGTAGCTTGCCACCATCAGTGTGGGAGTGTGTGCGTGAATGGGTGAATGAATGTAGTGTAAAGCGCTTTGGTCAAGTCTCCTAACATGCCATTTACCATTTATAAAGGAGACTTAAATGACATATTTTTCCTAAGAAATATTATTCCATAATTCATTATATAGATGGAGTTGTTTTCTTCAACTCAGACTAGCTTTTTTATAGCCAATTTTTGACATTTGAATGATGGAAATCTCAAAGACTCCCTAATACCATTGAACAGTAGACATTCGGGTGAAGGCAGCGTTGACAACTGAGATAATTTTGTGAGGTATTTGTATGTTAAATTTGCACCCTGTATCCCCATCCCTTATGCATCTTCTCTGTCTCACTCAGTGGAGAAGCAAAGCTCGGGGGCACATCTGTGAGAAACATGGCATAAAAACCTTGTTCAATAGAGCTGTTGTTTTTTTAGGAATGTCCAAACTAAGCACTAACAGTCTTTAGAGGATTTTATCATTGAGGGAAAAACTTCACAATCAAACAATCATGGTTAGAGGAAACAGAGAAATGTTTGAAGCGATTAAAAAAAAAAACTTGGTGTTCCAACAACTGCTAAGACATGTCTGCAGCTCATTTAAGCTGCGAAAAAGTCAGAGAGAGCTGCATTTTCACCAAAGAGAATTCATTATATATTACACTACATATGCTTTGAGCTTTCACTGCTTCCTGTTATGGAACATCACTGATTTGAAAGGTTAGACAGGGGTCGCCAACATAGTCAGGCAACAGGGTGTTCTGAAAGACCACATGAGCGGCCCTTTGAGCATCTTCCTAAAAAAAGGCACAACTATTTATATATATACATTTATATAAATATATAAATATATAGATATATATATATATATATATATATATATATATATATATATATATATATATATATATATATA